GTTAATGAACTCACGCTTATCAGGTGAAAGATCTGAAAATGAGTTGAAGAGCATTTCAATGTGTCATGTAAGAGAGAAGGATGTCTTAGCAACTGCTCATTTTGCGTTATGAAAATGAGAATGATTTGCATGCCCGCTTACGCCACCGTGTAGACTGCCATCGCTCTCCTTGCTTAATGATGAAGAAAATGAATTTTCAATTATTTTGATTGCGAGATGGGTATGGTAACGAACCTCTTAGAACCGAGCCAACATCTTTCGTTGTTTAGAAACTAAAGTCTTATTGTAGTTGTGGTTTTCCATATTGTCTGTTGGATATCCTTTGACATGGCAAATCCGAATCAGAATCTAGTTCGCCTCACCCGTTCGTGTTTGATTTTATTTTTCTTATTCTACGGAATATTTGGTGAGCATGTTGTCTACGTTTCATTTTATGGCTTTCTGCTCGAAGACTTGAGCCAAGATAATCTATATTTCTTCATTGAGTTGAGTTACTGATGAGAAGCGAGAGTAACTTCTTCTTTCAAGAGTTTGTTCAGAGCCTTTCCTATTGTAGAAAAATCCAATAGATGAAGCCAAAGTTCTCCTATTGCGTAGTTTGAACAGAGATGTTTGTGAACTATCCGTCTTCTTGTTAATCATTTCTAATGTTTTGTCTTTTTGATTTGAAAGTTGTATTGCCCTTTCACGCGCCCATTCTACAGGGGACAGGTTGCCTGTCAAATGTTTCGATAATGATATTTCCGTAATTATTCTGCTGATCTTTCTTGAAGTATTCGTATCGGTTGGGAGATCGTTGAAGTTTGAAGTTCATCAGTCTGCCAGTTCTGGTACTGTTCGGTGTTAGTGAACCAACCAACTAGGAAACTTGCGAGTCTCATATCCTCCTTAACTAAACCTTTGAAAGAAATTTCTTTGTCAATGCCGTATTACGTTTATTAATTTTCCCTTTGAACTGTTCGTCTATATTCTTCTTTGTCATTTACATCACAAGCAACATGTTTGCAGTAATTACATTGCCATCTCAATCAGTTCTACGATTGGCATTTGGTATCCTGCGAAGTGGTTGGGCAAACCACTACTGTTTATCAAGATGTTGAAGGTTTCGTAAGAACATTGATGGAATTAA